GGCTGTAGACTAGCCCTCATTGTAAAAAGCATGTTTCCTTTCTTAGGCAGCTAGAGGCCCATGTGGTGACCCCTGACCACATAAAAAGGAGGCCCAGGCCTAGGAGAGGGGGCTGGACTCTGGCCACTTGGTTCTAGAGCCTGAGCTCTCTCTGGTTCTCTCGAGCTGTATTCCTTCACACACAGATCCACCAGAACACAGGAGTAGGGTATTACGCTTCTCAGCGGCCCGAACCTGTCTACGTCGCCCGTGTCTTGTGCGATTCTTCTCGCTGACATTCCTCAGATCGAGGGCGAAGAACCTCACTTAGCGCCCCCGGCCGAACCGGCAAAGAGGGGCCTGCGCGGTCTCCCGGTGAGGAGCCCCAAGCTCCGTCACATCCGAAGAGTAACACTTCAATAGCTCAAAGCTAGCCCACTACCTCACGGAGCTGTTGGTGGAGAGAATGGAGGGGGAGAATGAGTGGAGATTGGGCACCATCGCCGTCTGTTGAGGCCCGCTGGTGCTAGATCCGGTGGCCCCAAAGTCTATCGCCGCTAGATCTGGCGACCGCGAGATCCACTGTTGAAAGGCCAGCCAACCGCTGACATTGCCAGCAAGAGGCTGGCCTGCCATCGCCATCCGCCGAGGCCTGCCATCTGCTAGTGGCCCCGAAGTCTGCCGCTGCCAGATCTGGCGACATCGATGGCAGCCGTTGTCGTTCCCATCAAGTGGCTGGCCCACCATTGCTAGTGCAGCCTGGAGATGCCCTGTCGTCACTATTCGGCTGCCGCCTAATGGAGCTGTTGGCGGAGAGAGTGGAGGGGGGACGAGTGGAGATCGGCCACCGTTACCATCCCGCCATTGTCCCATGGATTGCTAGGGGAGAGAGTGAAGAGGGAGAAGGAGTGGAGAGGATGAGAGTGAGTATGAGGAGAACGGGTGAGGGAGAGGGGTGTCACTGGAGTATTTTATAAGGCCTTAGTGATTTTTGCTGGCGGTCTATTAAGAGGGCAACCTATAAAAATATGATCTTTTTTACAAGTGGTCCTATTAAGGCTTCCACCAGTAAAAATCGAGACAATCCACAACTAGGTGCCTATGGTGCATTTTTTGTGGCGTTTTCTTTTTCCGTTGGCAGTGAAAAAATGAAGGAAAAACCATTTTTAAGTGCTATTAGTAAAACTAGGAAGACAGCCCGCGCATTCGCGCGGGCATGCACATTAGTTTATTTCGAAAATAGTTCTAACAAAACAAATTGAAATTAAAGTAAGGTATTTTTCGTGAAGAAATCTCAACAAACTGGTTTTTTTTTACCATCCTGCTAGGTCTCTCTTTAATTGCTTCATATATATGCAATTGGTTATGCATGTGAATCAATAAAGATATAAAAATTATTTTTAAATTATTTGTTGTATTTTTAATTTAGTTATTGTGTGATTCTTATTCTAAATTGTCTTTTCTAGGGATTTTAAATTGTACTTGTTCTCGTACGTGTTGTATTTGGACTCTTTTTTTAAAACTTATTTTATTATTCTAAATTTCAAATATTTATAACTTATGCAAGTATAAATGGACTCTTCATATTTTATATTCTATATGGAATCTTGTTATATTTTCTTTAGTTTTAATGTTTTTTTAATATATATTTTAATCTAATTGCTTGTTTTTTTTCTAAATTTAATTACGAACTCTTTGTAGTGATTCGCTTTTCACCATTAGCCTCGCGGATCATTGTCCACCTCCTCATGAGTGAGCCTCTCTTAATGTATTGGACATTATGTGGTGAGGCTCGGTGGTAGAGATGATCGAAGACATGGAACGTCACGTCTCCCTCTGGTCCTCCTCTCAGTCCTTGCCCTTCACCTAATCATCTAACGTGCTATTAGGCCTATGAACTTGTGGAAGTCGATGTTGCCTCTGCCGTCGATGTCCACCTCGCTAATAATGTCTTGTAGCTCCGCCTTCGTCGGGTTCAGGCCCAGAGTATGCATGATAGTTTCAAGTTTATTGGTAGTGATTGAACTTGGACATTAGACTCACATATTTGAATTCATTAGTTGTTTTCGAAGTGCTATTTTGCTCAAATATTTGTAGTCAGAACAACCATATTATTTAACTTTTATATAGTAAATATATGCATTGTGGTTCTTGAATTATGTATTTAATTATAAATAGCACAGTAAATCAAATAAACTGAGAAAAGTACATGTAACTTGAGAGTCATTATCATTTAGCTATTATTTTTTATATATTATGTGTTAGCTAAAATAGGAGATGAGAGTTGCATCCTATAGGAGAGTAGGACGGTGGAGGGAGTACATACACACGTGCGTGTCACATACGGTAGGGGTGGAGGTGGGAGTACCAGATTTATTTATGTGCGATGTAGTAGTTATAATTATTGGGTTCACCTATTTAAAGAAAAATCAATGGTTTGATTTTTTTATCGTAATTTATATTTTTTTTAGTTTATTTGAGTGTCATGTGGCATCTTAGGAGTGTTTGTAGAACACCATGTGATAGTTTGAGAGCGTTTGTAGGAAGTTTAATGAACTTTTAATATATAGCATTTTTTATTGTTTACGTATTGAGCTGCTGGCTATAGAAAATATGGATAAGAAAGTGAGCAGGAGACATAATAGATCATTCACGTTGGCATGATATATGTTATTTTTTAAATATTTATTACTATTTAGTTGTGATATAAAAGGGATTATGTCAAATGATATATTTCTTATATATGTACACGCCAATATATGGTAAATATAGTTCAAATTAAAATAGAATATATTACCAAGATATTCTAACTTATTTAGTATACTGCGTTTTTATATATACACAAATTTTGGCTAGTATAAATGGAAGGAAGAAGACAGGGCTGGGGAGACGTACTTAATTTGGGTGTACGTAAGTATGAGGAGAGGTGGGAGAGGTGTGGATGTAGGTGACATTTTTGTTTAACATACATAGATCTAATGGTGTAAAATTATGGGTCCACCATATCAAGTGAAAATCAATGGTAGGATGTTTTCCTTTTTTTTCCTTGGAATTTCTTAGATTTTTCTAATTTATCAGTGCCACGTGATGGCTTAGGAGAGTTTGTAGGAGCCACGTGAAGGCCTGAGAGTGTTCGTAGGAAGTTTAATGGACCTTGTTTAATGTACCTTGTTTAATGTTTGCTTGAATTTTTCTTATAAATGTTTATGTGTGATGATATTTTTGAAAAATTCTTTGACTTCATTTTAGACATGTTTTGGGTAATAACTGACATGGAGGACTTCCTCAACTATAACAAAATATATGATAAGTACTTAATTGCACATGGTACGTGATTGTTTATTTGTTATCAAAACTATTTGGCAAAGAGAAAATACATACATGTATGGCCATAAATCTCACGATGGATTAAGGGGCTCTATTACACAGCAAGTTCATTGGTTGAAAATATTTTGATAATATTTACACATCTATATTGCTCACTTCTCAAATGCAATCAAATAGTTGTAAAAAATCCAAAAAAAAAAACTTTGAAAATCTGCATGAAAAAAATTGTGTTGTTTTGATTGGTTTTACATATGTAGATTTAAATTAGTGTTTTATATTCGTGAAATGATATTTAACACCCTAAAATATGATGGAAATTATTTAAATACATATCATAATATTATTATTACATGTCGGTCTCATGTGTTGTGACGTCTTTAGGACCATAAACATCAAATGTACAGTTAACAAAAAAAATAAAACAGGATCATAATTTGGATAGATAATTTTAAAATAATTTAAAATATAGGATGTTTAAAGAGTGTTGAGTGAATATTGTATATTTATATTATAGATCTAGTTTAACTACGTATATTTGCTTATATGTGTAAATTGATATATTTTATCAATTGTAGAAAATCCAATTTTAAAGACCGTTGATTATTTTCCACAGGTATATGTTAGATGTACGCATATGTTTTTTCTTCCCGTGAACAGCAGTTAAGCTAATTAAATTTGCATGCGGATATATTTCTCATGTATATGTATATAGGAGGAAAATATTACTTTTTAATAATATTTAAGTGAAAATCAAGGTGAGACTATATAGAGATACGTGGATATATAATTTTAAAATAATTTCTAAGACAACGTGCAAAGAGAGTTGATTCGATATTTTATATTTATATTTATAGATCTAGTTTAACTGTGTATATTTGCTAAATTTGTAGAGAAATACATTTTATTAATCGTAGAAAATAAATTCTAGTTTAAAGCCCATCGATTTTTTCCCACGCGTATTAGACGTGCCTAAATTCTTTTGCTCTATCGTTTTTTAGTAAGTACGCGTCTGTTATTTTTTTCTTCTTGTGCAAAGAGTAGGTATGTTTTATTGGTTTCTTTAATAATGCGTACATGCGGATATATTTTTTATACGGATACATGATGAATGTATTACTTTTTAACTAATAAATCTAATGGTCTATAATATTGGAGCCACCAATTTAGATGAAAATTAATGGTGAGAATAGATAGTGCTATGTGGATATATAATTTTAAAATAATCTGAACGTTTAAACAGTGTTGATTGAATACTTTATATTTATATTATATATCTAGTTTAACGGTGTATATTTACGTAAATTTGTAAAGTAATATATTTTATTAACGGTAGAAAATATTATTTTTAAGATCATTGATTTTTATAAAATCAATATATTTTATTAATTGTAGAAAATCTTATTTTGTCGTTGATCTTTTTCATTGCTGTTAGAGGTACATATCACATATGTATTTCCTACTTTATATTTTTCTTTCCGTAAGTACGCGTGTACTATTTTTCTTCTTTTTGGAACAGTAGGTAAGCTTTGTTTGTGTTTAACGTACATAGGTGTGGATATATATCATGTGTACGTATACTTTAGTTCTTTTAATAACAAATCTAATCTAATAGTGAAAATCGACGGTAAGATCAGATAGTGCCATGTGGCAACCCAGGAGCGTTTGTAGGTGTGCCACGTGGCGGTTTGAGAGCGTTTGTAGGAAGTTTAATGGACTTTTAGTATAGGAAAAAGTACGAATTACACCCCTGAACTTTTGCGACAGTATGAATTGCCCTCCCGAACCACAAAACCAGACATATTAAACCTCAAACTATTGAAACCGGACGAATTACCCCCCTGACTCAATCCGGAACGGTTTTGGTCCTGCGTGGCATACACGTGACGTCGACGTGGAAATCCAATCAGCAATAAAATAAAATAAAATAATATAGGGCCCACATGTCATATTAACCCCTTGTTCTCTGTCCCTTCTCTGACGTTGGTGTTGGGCGTCACTGGGCGAGCAACTGCGGGCACGGCTTGGTGGCTCTGGCCGACGATGGGCGCGGATGGGAGGGGGAATCGGGGGGACGCCGCCGATCTGTTGCTGCGGCCGCCGCCGCCGCTCGCCGCACCTGCCCGGGGGATGTGGTGGCCTCGTCGAGCTCCACGATGAGGTTCTTGATATCGGCGATGCGGTGGCGCTCGAGCTCTAGCGTGGTCGTGTCGTGGTGTTGCCATGTTCGCCTCAACAAATTCGCGGTGAGGAGCTACAAATTTCGATGAAAATTTGTAGAACACGCTAAAAATCAGATGACTTAATGAATTTTCATCAAAAATGCACATGCGCACATACAAAAATGAGATTACCAGTGGTAGCTCTGGTGTCACCTTCCGGAGGATGCGCTGAGCCATGACAGCGGCCATGGGGTGCACGATCGCCGACCGGTCAAACACCGGCGCCGGGGCAGATGGCTGGCCGAGGGCCGGCGCAGACCACTCGTCCATGAACCGCCAGAAGCTTTGTCCGTCCGGCACGGCGTGTTGCACGGCAACGCCACCCCCGTCCCCGCCGCCGACGAACCGCGTCACCTGCACGGCGAGCAACGGCGTGGGGAGCTCGGGGGCCCTCCAGGCTGGGCACGAGCCGCAAGAACGCCGGGACATCGTGCCTCTCGGCGGCTGACAGCGCCCGCGCGTCGCTGTCGCCCCGTCCCCAACGGCAGATGGCGAGCAGTCAACGACGACGTCGCCGGTAGAGAGGACGTACGTGAGCTTCCCGACGAAGGGGAAGAAGACCGCGACGGCGTCAGCGACCGCCGCCGTTGCCCCTGCCGCTTTGCCCACCTGTCCTAGAGGGCTCCGTCGCCGCTGCCGCTTCCCCCGCCCGCCCTGCAGGGCGCCGCCGCTGCCCCCGCCCGACCTGGAGGGTGCCGTCACCGCCACCGCTTCCCCCGCCCGCCCTGGAAGCCGTAGCTTCCCCCATCCGCCCTGGAGGGCGCGGTCGCCGCCCTGGACGCCGCCGCTTCCCCCGCCCGCCCTGGAGAGCGCCACCGCCGCCGTCGCTTTCTGTCTGCGCTGCACGAGACGAAGAGAGGGGAAAGTGGAAGACGGGAAGAGCATGACATGTGGGACCACCTAATTTTAGAATATTCATTTTATTGAGATGTTGCTGACTGGATTAATACATTGCCACGTGGACGCCATATAGGACTAAACCCACCTTGTACAGCACCGAGGGGGGTTATTTGTCCGGTTTAGAAAATTAAGGGTGTTAAATGTCTGGTTTTGTTGTTGAGGAGGGTAATCCAGTCGACCGTTATAGTTTAGGGGGGTAATTCGTACTTTTTCCTTTAGTATATAATAGATGATGCTGATCAATACGATATGCTTTTTCAATTCTTATTTCACACTCATGATCTATTAATGACACTTACCATGATCTATTATTGAGGCTTAATAGAGAGGAAAATTAGGGTTTATACTTTTTCTCCCTCATCTAGAGGCTAGAGAGTGTACCTCATGAGATTAGTGATAAATAGTGTGGATGCACTTTGTAAACAAATTTGTTATGAACCGTGAATATGTTCATATAAAGTAGGGTTTATACTTTTCCTCTCTTTCTAGTTTGCACTCAAGAGCGAATTTCTTTTATTTTTTTAATAAAAAGCTTACGAGATCAAGTAAATAGTTGTGGGAAGTCTCCGTAGTTTTTAAGCAATCTATTTTCTTATTTCGGGTTTGTTGTAGGCCGGTCTTTTTCAATTTGGTGCGATTTTGTTCATTTTTTATACTTAAAAGTTTTGATATATATTTTGTCTTTTGCAATCATTTACCCATCTCGATCTCGTTGGTTTAATTTCTCTCTTTTGATTCTATTATCATGCTCCGCACAACACGTCAACGAACCACAAGTCGGATGAGAAATATCAGTTGTATCCTTGGATGATGTTTAGTGCAATAATTCTGTATGCGGACAACGCTGGATTTATCGCTGCTGCCAAATTGCCAATGGAGGCGGCTAGCCGGTACCTAAGCTTTCGTTCCCAAGTCTACGCTGGGTATTTATTTGAATTTTCCAGTGCCACACACCTCTCCAAGTCCATGGATTCGGATCCTCTGCAGTAATGCAGAGGGTCACTTTTAGCTACAGTAATATGTGAGGGAACAGTGTTCTAATGCACAGCACAGTCGCGCTTTACTGTAGCTACGGGGATGAATGTACTGTAGCACCGCTGTTTAGTACTGTAGCAGATTTACTGTAACGTCTCATCTGATCCATCCATCTTCTATCGGACGCTTCACAGTTCTTCTAATGCCGGGCACTGTAGCTACCTCTGAATTTTCTCCTCCACAGCAGAGGATCCGAATTGCAAGTCCATTCCTGGCCCCAATATCACTGCAATCAAATGTACTCTTCCAGTTTGTTTAAGCGGTCGTAGAGTGTAATTGTGTATTTCTGTGAAATTGCCATATTACCTACCCCCATGTGACAGCATGTGCAATCAGTTTGTCCCTGCTGCCTCATTAAGTTATTGCATGTGCTTGCTGTATTGCTATGAATTAATGAGGTGCCATCTCGTCCTTCTATACGATTCATTAGCTTAAGGGCAATTGGCAAAATTTAAAGAGTGTAAGTCTAAAACATAAATTTGTTTGTTATACATTAGGACCCCAAGCCTAACCACAAGTCAGTCAAGTCTTTTTTTAAAAAAAAAAAACAAATCTAAGCTAGCTGTTGCTTAGCCAATCTTCTCTTTATAATCCTACTCCAATTGCTGGGTTGGATCACAATCCTCAGCTTCCACCACACCAACGAACAAAACTTGAGAGACAGAGAGAGGCAGAGAGCAATGGCAGACCTTGCCATTGGGATCTCCAAGACGATGGTTGAGGCACTTGTAAACAAGGTCAAGAGCACCATCAAGGAGGAAGAGGAGCTGTGGCAGATCGTGCAACGTGATACTGTGTTCATGAAGGATGAGTTCGAGATGATGCAGTCCTTCCTCAAGACCGCCGATTGGGAACGGATCAAGAACAATGTGGTGAGGACGTGGGTCAGCCAGGTCCGTGATCTGTCTTATGACGCCGAGGACTGCATCAAATCCATCCTCCTCCTGGACACAAATAGGTCGTTCTGGACCATGTGTCTCCGCTTGCTGGCATCGTGCAGCTGCAAGTCGGAAGCAGCATCGCCACTGGACCAAGCCGTTGCCGAGATTGAGCTGCTCAAGGCCCGGGTCGAGGAGGTCAGCAATCGGAACATACGCTACAGCCTCATCAACGACTCCGGCTCCAAGCCCGCCGCCATGCCGCGACACTTGGCGTCCGCCGCCTCTGCCGTCGGCACATCGGCAGTGGGCGTCCTCACCGAGGCATGGTGCAACGCGAAGAAGCAGCCAGGCTTCGTTGATCTCACCATGCTGGTCACCGAGAACAGTGATGCCCTTCGAGTGATATCACTGTGGGGAACCGGAGGCGGTCTTGGTGGGATGACATCCGTCATCAAGGAGGCCTACGAAAAGCCAGAAATATGCCAAAAGTTCAGAGCTCGTGCCTGGTTGAAGCTAGCACATCCCTTCAACCCCCAGGAGTTCATCCGAAGCTTGGGGCATCAGTTCTATCGAAACACATGGAAAGAACAACAAGGAGAAATCACCGGTATCGATGTTCTGACGGGGATGGACGCGGCCCAAGGCACCAATCTCGTGAAGGAGTTTGTGAAGGAACTCAACAAGCATAAATACCTGATCGTCCTAGAAGACCTGTCCAACATGGCAGAGTGGCACGCCGTCCGGACATATCTACCAGACGGTAAGCATGGGAGCCGTATAGTCGTGTCTACACAGCAACTCGAGATTGCCAGATTGTGCGCGGGGCAACACTACCAAGTATTGGAGCTCAAGAAATTATCAGACAATGACTCCATCTGTGTCTTTTTCCACGAGGTACAATGCAACGGCCTTTTTCTACACACATCTAAACTCTAGAGTAAGATTCCCAGTTGTAGATGGAGCGTTACTCCAGTGCTCTCTACTAGTAGTATTATATATACTAGCAGTATTATTAGGGTAAATTAGTAATTTACAAATAATACGATTAGGAGTAACTGTTATTTATGTTTTTTTTGGCTAAATCTATCTATGATTATCCATTGCGCTGGCATTGCTCATATTCCATGGGAAAAATCCAAAATAGAAGAAAAAAGGTTTAGTCAATGCTAAATGATGATTATACCGCTCCGTACCTTTTTTTTTTCAATAATACCCCTTCAACATTTCTACTACCGTTAACTTGGGTGTTAATATAAATAAATTTAAACCCTTTGATCAAATTAAATCAACAGTTCAAATTACTTTCTACTACTAGTAGAGAACACCGTAGTGGAAGATGGATCTTTGCTACAATTTGTAGAAGTTGAATTTAACCTACACGTTCGTGGAGTGATATATTACATATTGATCTATCTTGCCAATTCTTTTCATAACCATTTAGTTAATATGGAATAAACAGGTGGATGTTCATCCGGGTGATTAAAAGAGTTTCCGCACCATAGTGGGGCTCAAAACATTATACAAATTTTAATTCCTAAATGTCAGAAGGCCAATTCGTTATGCATGTTCCATATATTTGGATATATCGTACTAATAATTCAATGTTTGTTGTGCTGAATTTTAGTGTAGAATCATTGTACCGTAAGGAATTCCGTGTTGAAATAACCAAGCAAGTGTGAGCCGTAAATTCGAGCATGATTGGTTATTCTCTCATGGATCAAGCATGCAATTGATCACTCTCTATCCTTATTAATTTGTAGGCTTTTGAACGTGTCGAAGTTGGCATGGTGGCTGGTGGACCTTCCTTATTGGAAATGTCCAACGAAGTTCACCTTGTTGGGTGCAGCTCGGATGAGGAGAAACTCTCTAACCTGATTTCTTCAGCACGCCATAGCGACAGATCTCATGTGATCTCTGTATGGGGTTTTCCTGGTCTTGGGAAATCGGTTCTAGTAAGAACCGTCAGGCGACGCCAAGCGAGTAATCCGACATCCCCATTTGATTGGTATGGCTGGGTCGATGTGTCCTATCCATTCAATTTTAGCGACTTCTGTCGAAGAATGCACTCGTATATGTTCGAACAATCACAAGGAGAGTATGCGTACATGCCCATGAATCCAAAACCAGAGGAAAATATCATCCAAGAGTGTAGAGAGTTTCTGCAGAATTCTCGATGCCTTATAGTGATCGATGGCCTGCGGTCCAGGGAACAGTGGGACTCGATAAAGTCGTTGATTGATGGATCCTCTAAGTGTTGCATCCTTGTCGTTACTGCAGAAGAAAACGTCGCCAAATATTGTGCCGTGCAAGACGATGCCGCAGTACACAGAGTCAACGCTCTAGGATCTGAGGCAGCCCTCGAGATTTTCAAACAGGTGTGTGACCCCCTACTCATTAATTACTCCTTTTACACTGTGGCATGTTTAGATCCCATCTTAAAATTTTTCGCGATGTCACATCGAACATTTAAACACCTACATAAATTATTAAATATAGACTAAAAAATAACTAATTACACAGATTGCGACTAATTTGCGAGACGAATCTTTTAAGACTAATTGCTCTACGATTTGATAATGTGGTGCTATAGTAAACATTCACTAATGATAAATTAATTAGGCTTAATAAATTCGTCTCGCGGTTTACTGACAGATTCTGTAATTAGTTTTTTTATACACCCTAAGTGACACCCTATATAATTCTCCCGGTGAGGCACGCCAAATATTTGTCCATAGCACACAATACGTGCTGACAAAGAAAGTTCTCCCTCCATATTGCATAATTTAATATTATAATTGTTTTGATTTTTTTAGTTAATTTTATTTTAAGTTTGATCAAGTTTGCAGAAAAATATAGTAATATCACAAAACAAACATATTATCAAAACATATTTAATGTTAAATTTAATGAAACTAATTTCGTTTATAGATATTACTAATTTTTCTATAAACTTGATCAAACCAGAAAAAGTTTGACTAAGAAAAAAGAGAAACGACTTATCGTTTGAAACACATAGAGTACTATACTACTAAAAGTAATGTCTATTAATAACTTAATAAAGTAACAGAAAATGAACCACCATGTTCGCTCTCACGACCTAAAAATTTCTCGCATTAATAAAAAACATTTGAAGTAGACATATAATTTAAATACCTGAAATTCAGAGAAAAATAAAAAAATAAAATGAAGTCCATATAGAAATACAACTTAGAAAACAATAATTTAACTTCGCTTTAAAAAAATCAACATTGAGATAAAAGTTCATGTAGAAATGCAATAGAAAATATATAATTCAAATTAACAATAAATAGTATTAATATTAAGAGAAAGGGTCCTTGTAGAAATACTATTTAGAAATACTTAAAATTCATATAGAAGAGTAAATATAATGGAGAAAAGATTTCATGTAAGAGTACAATTTAGAAATATTTTAAATTCAGATTAAAATAAATAATAGGAAGAGGAAGAGTTTATCAACTAGCTATACCCCCATCAGACTGTTGGGGTGGCCCGGCACAGCACGAACTTCAGGGACGTGAAATAGACTTATTTTCAACCATATGTAAGTCAGGGCAAAAAAATAGGGAGGACAAATAGACGTATTATATGGCATGGTCCAAAGAATAGGGACGTAAATAGACTTATTTTAGCTTTATATATGTCACAACACAAAAAGGAGGGAGGGGGAATAGACTTATTTCTATGAAAGCACGATGGGCTGCCTGTGCCTTCGTGCTGGCCTAGCATGGCCTGACCCTTATTAGGCTGTGCCTGGGCCACAGGTGGAGCACGTGGGCCGGCACGACATGGCCCGGCACGGCCCGACATGTCTTGGCCCAGGCATGACCGGGCCTGGGCCGTGCCGTGCAGGGCAGCCCATATGGCCAACTATATACCCATCTACCGTCAATATATGGTATGACTTGGCATGTCATTACTGAATGACCATATGGAAATATTCTAAAGAACCATTGACATCCCCAATCTTGAGTGTTTGTGTTATCTGTTGGGACTGTCTACACATTTGTCGTCAAATGTACTTTTAAAAATTCTAACAAATATAATTATAATACAAACGTGATGTAATTACATCGTAACTTGTATATAACTTTTATACATCCCTTCATAACATGTCTTTTTCATAAAACGTATATCATGGAACCGAATCCCCCACATGTATGTGTGTTGTGAGATTTTTTTCCTTCCTCGCTATCTCACTTACACGATTCTTTAAACAAATCTAATTGTTCAAAACTATGTAAAAGTTATATTCAAGATACATTGTAGTTACACTACGATTGTGTTGACGGAAAACACGACAGCCTAAGAGATTTGCTAACTCCAGTGCAAGTCCAAGGCTTGCCTCAAGTGTCAAAAGTGTGCCAGCTGGTTTGATCTTGCAATCAACAAGAAAGAGAAAACATAATTAGATTAACGATAGCCGATAGGGCCAATATGGGTAAACCTAATCGGCTGCGGCTTTATGATAGTCAATCCAAAGCAAAACCCTAAACATGCCCTATCAGCTATAATACTATCTCTTAGGTTTGCATCAATCATTTTAGGACAGTATTAAAGAAATAGCCGATAGATCAGTATTTAGAGCAAATATAGATAATGTATTAGCTAATACTCCAATACAAACTTATCCTAATAAACTAATCTATATAAACATATCAAAAAGCAATCGATCACTAGATATGAAACTTAAGAGAGATCAATCTAGCTTGATGTATTTATATAAAGCAACCTATCTATATAAGTGGCAAATATACATAAACATATCATGAAACATGCGCTATCATGTATATTAGATAAGATCGGCTGAAACCCTAATACTGTACTTAATTATGATTAATTTCAGGTTAGTTTTTATGATTCTAAAAATGGCTAGAGAGGATGCATCACAAAGTATGCAAAGAAACATAAAGTCTAAATAATTAAGGAATTAACCACTTTTAAGAATGGTAGATACCTTAGCTCTAATATAGTAAAACAATTTAGCTGATACCGGCATAAACCCTAAAGCGGAAATCGATGGATAAGACTAAATTGAGATGCTGAGACTGGATTAACTAAGATACGTAATAGCAATGGCCACGGTAAAAGGACTAATAAATCTAAATCGACATAATAGCCCCGATAGCGCAAGACATCGAGACAAATTACCTCTTGTCGAGAGATCGCAGCCGATGCCCCGGCATTAAGCAAGAACTCAACAAAAAGTAAAAGAAAAGGGTGGCAACGTGCCGAAAGTTGTATTGATTTGATTGTCTCCTGCATGACAATGGTCAGGGGTTTATATTTATATCCCGAGTACAAAACTTGCCGATTATAGACACGACTCAAAACTTTCCTAAAGATAAAATACAAACAAGTCCACATGGCGGACTCTTACCACATCTCTAACTCAAACCGACATAAATATCCTAATTAATAGATACAATTGCCTTAAACGAGCTTTTTCTCTAAATGGCAATAACGGTTAATCTCAATCGTAGCCCAAACCGAGCCTAAGTCAAGCCGTATCGGCTACTTGCCATATCGGCTCAATTAGATTCCGACTCTGTTTTCAGCCGATATACTGCTAGCCGATGCGCAATCTGTTTTGGCAAGATTTAATCTCCTTTGATTCCGCTTCGATATCTAACTCCAAATCCGAGTCTATTTTGCCAAATTTCGATGTTAACAGATTGTACTATATTTATACCTGTTAAATTTTTAGAAAAAAATTTATCGACAAATATATAGCAAAATTTTTATACGTTTCTTACTTTAACATCACAAAAATATCTTCTGATAGCTTTTAAATTATTGTAAAACAGGAATTTCGAGGGGTTGGAACATTAAGGGATGCACACACGCTGGAGGAAGCAAAATATATCTTAGCCAAGTGCGGTGGAATTCCAGAAGTAATAATGGCTTTAGCTAGATATGTGGCCTCCGAGCAAGAGGACATACGGCAAAGGAAGTTGAGCCATCTTAAAGACAACTTTATGCACGAGCTGGAGACCAACCCCGAGTTTGTTAGCTTGCGGGATCTGTTCAGCTGGATGCATTTTAGTTTTGAGGCTTTACCGCACTCCATCAAGCCATGCATCCTGTATCTGGCAGTGTTCCAAGTGAAGAGAATCCGGCGGAGCCATTTTGTGCGGCGGTGGATCGCGGAGGGCTACTCCAAGTGCACTGACAGCAAAACCATGGAGGATTACACGGGCGAGCTCTTCGACAGGCTTGCCAAGGAGACAGATACAATGCCCGAGTGGCGGTTCAATAGCTTCTTCCATGAGTACATCAACTCACGACTCATGGAAGAGAGAGTGGTTTTCTTTCCATTGGTAGTCTCTGTGTTGGATGGGAGTCGCAGCCTAACCACGGAAGTCATGGGACAACACCTAGTCATTGGGAGCAGCTGGAAAAGAGACGAGGAGTATGTGTACTACGAGGACCTGGACGTGTCGCATCTCCAGTCTTTGACAGTATACGGAGCTTGGAAGTCCCTCTTCGTCCCTTACAAGATGAAATCGGTCCGGGTGCTGGATCTAGAGGGCACTACTCATGTTGGTTTTGGTGACGATGAACTCAAGCGGATCTTGGAGCTGCTTCCTCGCCTCAGGTTTCTCTCACTGAGAGGGCACCGAGAAATCACTCATCTCCCGGATTCCTTGTCTGGCCTCAAGTATCTCCAGACTCTGGATATCAGGCACACCTCAGTTGTCTACATTGCGCTGCAGACGCTACATGAGCTGCAGTACATTCGTGCAGGCACCACGGCGCCATGGATGGATGGTGGTAAAGGCTTGGCTTACGAGGCATCGAGTATCAGCTCATGCGCTAGTGTGGCGTCGTCCTACTTGCCCAAGTTCCTGAGACGTGGTGGACCTGTTGGACCTTGTCAAGGCGTCAAGATGCCTAGAGACGGGATCCATCACCTGAAGGCCCTGCACACGCTTGGTGCCGTCCACATCAATTCTTCAAGCGGACAGGCCATTCTGGCTGACATCTACCGTCTTAAACAGATGAGGAAGCTCGAAGTGTCAGGCATCAACCGGAAAAACAGCAAACATCTGTGCCATGCCATCATCAATCACAAGAACTTGGAATCCTTGTCACTGCAGCTGGACAAGGAGAAACATGTTGTTTGTTGGGATGACATCTCCCCTCCTTCCAGCGTGCGGAGCCTTAAGCTGTATGGGCATGTGGAGATGTTATCGGCTCGGAGGTTCAAAAATCTTAGGAACCTAAGGAAGTTGTGCCTAGAGATGAATACTACACTATTCACACAGAACGTACTGCTCCTCGGGAGCGTATCAAGTCTGCGAACTCTACGCCTTCATGTCAAGCAGAATCAAGATGGTGTCCTCCAATTTCGGGCTCATCTTTTCAGCAAACTTCAGCACCTTGAGATTGTTTGCAGGTCCAACTTACATGTAATATTTGACGAAGAAGCAATGCAGAAGCTAGAGCTGCTGAAGATCCACTGCCATGATGGGTCGTTACTGCAGCTTTCTGGGCTAAAGCATCCAGTTTCCCTCAACCAAGTGCGGGTTCTGGGTACCTTTGACGACGCACTCATGGAGTCTTGGCGGCAGCAACTGGCGGAGCATCTGAGAAACCCTGCTTTAGTTTGAAGCTATACACTGCTGGAGCAAGATCGAGCCACCAACACTCCCAGTTTCCAGATCGTGAATTCGTGATTGTGTTTCCTGGCCATATATATCCAGGAGATTTTGCGTGTGCCATCCGTTTGTTGGCCGCCACACATATATATCCCGTTTGGAGGGAGAAAATTGACATTGTGCCATCCTCAAAAAGTGGGTTTCGCCCAAATGCCATGCTGGGAGTGGGCTTCGTTAAAATGCCACTTTCAACACATGGTTACACGCTAAAATACTATCTCGGACCAAATTACCCTCCTCTCATCTTCTTCCTCCCTCCATCACCATCAGCTCTCGCCGGTGGCCACCATCTGCCTTCGCGCGAGCTCTCCTCCATGGAGAACTACATGCCACAGGCCCCTGCGGGGACCCCTCCCATGGCTCCCCTCCCCGTGCCCCCTCCCATCCGCCCCCATCCCAGCCCCACCCTCCGCGAGCCCCCGCACCCGTCCCGGCCACCGCCGCCGTCGCCTGCACCTCCGATGACCACCGCGCCGCGCCTTCGCCATGGCCATGCCCACCAACGACTCCGCCGTGCGGGTGCGCCTCCGCCGCCTGGAAGAACGGGAGTGGCTAGGACGGCGGGTTGGCACGAAAGACGAAGACCGCCGACGTCGGCGTCGGTGGCGCGGATGGCGTGGAGCGTGACCACAGGGTCGTCGGTTGGGGACGGTCGAGGCGGGGAGGAAGGGGTGCGGAGGTGGAGGCGGACGAGGCGGGGGTTGTCGGGGAGGAAGGGGAGCGGAGGTGGAGGCGGATGAGGTGGGCGTGGCAGAGGCGAGCCGGCGAGGCATCCCTTGTCAGAGGTGGAAGAAGGTAGTAACAGGGGTATTTTTGTCCGTTCGGGCATTATAGCGTGTAGTCTTCGATTGAAAGTGGCATTTTAATAAAGCCCACTCCCAGCGTGGCATTTGGACGAAACCCACTTTTGAGAATGGCACAATGTCAATTTTCTCGTTTGGAGGCATAGTGGAAAAAACCGGACCGGACCGGCGGTTCGACCAGAAAAAACCGGAACCAGAGGTGACCACGGTTCGGTTTCCTTTAAAGACTGGACATGAAGTCGAACCGCTCTGAACCGGCTGAACCAGCCGGTTTTCGGCGAACCGGACACTGGTTGAACCGGCTAGCCACACTAATGGGCCACAGTGGGCTGTTTAAAGGCCCATTTGGTGCAGCTGGTGGTCTTTTTATGGCAAGACTGGACATGAAGTCGAACCGCTCTGAACCGGCTGAACCGGCCGGTTTTCGGCGAACCGGACACTGGTTGAACCGGCTAGCCACACTAATGGGCCACAGTGGGCTGTTTAAAGGCCCATTTGGTGCAGCTGGTGATCTTTTTATGGCAAAAATAGCAAGAAATGGTGCGCTACGTGGGATTCAAACCCGGGTCCAGGGGTTACAAGAGCAAAGAGCTAGCCATCAGGGCATCCAACGACATGTGTATATGAGTGAATATGTAATATACATGTACTTTGTGAACCGCGGTTCGACCGCCCGGGTCACCGGTCGGACCGGCGGACCGCTGAACCGAGAGGTCGGCCGGGTCACTTACCGGTCCGGCTTTTTTTACTATGTTTGGAGGTAGACGTCAGGTTTTAATCCATCGTTTTTTTTTAAAAAAAAAAGGTGTCATTCGTCTCCCTTATCTTTTTCTTATCTAGTACTCCGTACTATTCTTTTTTTCGAGGGGAAAACGTCTGGGGCTCTACCAATTGCATATAAGAAGGAGCAGAAAAGGGTCAATTTACATACGGGCCACAAAGAGGAGTCGCTAGGGACTCACAGCCCGAAGGAAGAGCACCCAATCTTTACGAAGTGAGAACAGCAACAAGCAGGAGCAAGCATAAATGCCGTCTCTGGTTCAATGCCGCAAAGGGGGCAAATCTCACTGTTATCCCACCCCCGTAGCTGTAGTTTATCAGCCGTGAGGATTTTCATGTGAATCATGAGCCATCCGAAGAATTTGCATTTGTTTTCTGTCTTGGCTTTCCAGAAGAAGTTTGATCTGCTGTCCTGGATGCCCCCTAGGAATTGGATCCTGTAAGCAGAGCTAGCTGAGTAGCAGCCATTCGTGGTCCATCTCTATGAAAGTGAGTCCTCTACGCCATTCTGTAAGTGAATCTAATGGATGAGTTGCCAGAGAGCGATGAACTCTCTGACTTGGACCGTAGTGTTCATTCTCCGCATCTGACGAAGCCAGCGGTTGTCGGCGAGTTCTTTAGCGACCATTCTATTTTTCCTGGATGCAATCTGGAATAAAGATGGGGCTGTATCTTTTGGTGCTTTGCCCTCGAGCCACCTGTCATGCAAGAATTTGACCTTGCCTCCATTTCCTAAGATGATGATAGTGGAGGCCCTGAAGAGTTGCTTGTCTGTTTCATCACATGGGAGGTTTGATCCCTGCCACGGTTTGTCAGAGTACGTCAAGTCATGCCAGAGCCATCGCAGCCTCAGAGCCCGACTAAATAGTTCTTTTGGTCGGCATACTCTCTTCCGAACTCGTAGTACCTAATCGATATTTGAAATACATAATTGTTGTACGTACGTAAGTACTACTTATATTAGGTATACATGCTCTCAAGTTGAATGTATAAGCTGGTTCCAGTTCCAAACTCCTCATCCATATAACTATATAGTCCATGGTTACTAATTACAAAGCAGCATATATGATATATATTTGTATCAGTTATTCTAAACAAGTGGCACGTATGAGTCCATCATTTCTATCTATCTATCTATCTATCTATCTATCTATCTATCTAAAAATCTATTAAACTTTCTACAAACGCTCTTAAACCGTCACGTGGCGTTCCTATAAATACTTCTATAACACCACATGACACTGTCCACTCTCACCGTCGATTTTCACTTAAATCAGTGGACCCAATATTTTAGACCATTAGATTAGATATACTATTTCTAAAAATTAGTACCTTCCTATGGGCTGGAAAAAGAACTCCGTATGTACATAAGTACTCCGTACATACAATAGTAAGTACGATTATAAATATTATCTTAACTACTTAAAAAATTGATAACTTTCCGTTCGTCACACCAATTCTCGTCTGCAAGTCCGATTGAGCTATGGCCTCTTTTCCCACACGCTCCCGTAACACATCCTGTAAGACAGATAAAGCACAAATTCAAAGATGGATATAAAATCCAATCGGGTAGAAAACCCAGCGAGAAAGATAAATCGATTTTGTTCATTGAGTCTTTGAAAGCCCCAGATTCCCCAATACAATGCCCCAAATCCCCAAATTGAAGATGAATATATGAACAACAAACAATAATCTCCATATCCTTATTTTACCATATGAACAACACATGCAAATCCTCAATATAAAAAGAAAAAAAATCATGAATTAACATCAAAAAATCACAAGAGTAATTCATTATCATTACCAGATACTGCTCCTGCTTTTGGTGTGGAAGGATGAACGAGAGGGGGCGGCGTCACCATCTCACCTCCCAGATCCGCCCGTCTCTGACCTACACACTGATGGATCCACCGGCCAAGCCACCGGGGGAAAGTAGAGTAGAGATCAGCACGTCACCATGGAGGTCGGAGGTGACTAGATCTAGCGTCCCCCGACCTCGACGCCGATGGTTCTATCGGCCAGGTCGCCCGTCATTGCCCGTTGAGGTAGTTGCCGATGGCAGGAGGAGAAGACTGAGTCGCCGCCGCCGTCACTTCGAGTCGCCGTGCCCTCGTTGGGAAGGGCGAGCACAGGGAGATGGAGGAGATAGAGCGGCAGAGGAACCGGTGATGTGGCCGTGCCGGTGGCTGGATCCAAATGAGGAGGAGCGAGGTTGCTCCAATCGGCTTGTCACTGAACTGCGCCATCGAGGAAGCACCATCCAGCAGCAACAAGGAGAGAGAGGACGGATCAACGGCAGCAGCAACGACGGCGTGGAGCCATGGTGGATCTGGCCGGGACATAGAGAGAGACGGAGAAAGACAGGAGAGAGGTGCGGTGGATCTCGCCGGCGACACAGAGAGATGGAGAAAGGCAGGAGAGAGAGAGAGTAAACGAGACAACGAGAGAGTAGGGATGGCAATCGGGCGCGACGGGCACGGGTAGTGCCTACCCATACCCATGCCCGTGAGATTATTTGTGCCCGTGGGTATACCCATTACTACATGACGGGTAAGGATGGTTGCCCATGCCCATTGCCCGCGGGTGTCTTATGCTCGGGGGCGTGCCCGTTTACCCGCCACAAGAAAAGCAGTGGAACAAAAAGTCTACAAGCTACTAAATTCGAATCGAACTTAAAATATCAAATATTCTCCGCCTCGGTGTCGTGTCTCTCCTCTGGCGGCGATAGAGTAAGAGGAGAGAAATAATAAGGGAAATAAAAGAGAAACCGTAGAAAACAAAGAACCTGGCTTATGTATTCTAGTGGATTTTGCTCCTAGCCTACATGTAAGTTAGATTTCGCGGGTAAACGGGCAAAGCGGACATGGGTAGTGATTACCCATACCCATGCCTATTTACCCATCGGGCATAGCTTTTGACCCAATAAGATACCCATGGGTATAAAATGGAGAACAAACCCAACCCTAATAGGGTTTTTACCCGCGGGTAAACGGGCAAACGGGCACAATTGCCATCCCTACGAGAGAGATAAGGCTCTCCGGTGGTGTGGACCACAATATTTTCTCTACTCACTAAATAAACTAGAACTTTAGGCGCGCTTCGCTGCGCCCTACCATTTGTTGAGAGCAATGTAAATCAGGAACGGGTATAATTGAATGTTGAGGAGAACCTAAAGCAGAGCAAATGATACCAACGAAATAGGCAAAAATATAAATTGCACTGTCATATCTATGTAACAACGCTATAATCCAAGCCTGAAGAAAAATCAAACCATGTCATGACAGCATTCAGAATCATATAAATCCAAACATAGTAATAGTGGTTAATCGATAGATTTAATAATTACTTTATTGGTCAAAAGTATCACAAGTCAGAACATGTATATGTACTTATATTGATAAATGTTAAGTTTGAAAGGACTTCATTCTAGCACGGGCTGCTACATAAGTTGAATTTCGATGTTACATGATGATCAGAAATAAACCCTGAATACTACAAGATTAAAAAAAAATCACCTAATAAGTTCAGATACCACAACAATTTAGATAGCCAGTTCTTTCATGAACTCTGAAAAGACAGTGAAATGCTTTTCCACTTGCAGATACAGGAAAAATTGGTAAACAAAAATAACAGTCGGCCCTGATTTCTTCCTCTT